AGAAAGAAAGAAAGAAAGAAAGAAAGAAAGAAAGAAAGAAAGAAAGAAAGAAAGAAAGAAAGAAAATGGAAGTTAGGATGGAAAATAGAGATGAAGCCGTGAGAGAAGGAGAAACACACAAAGTAAAAGAATAAAAGAAAGAAAAACATCAGAAGAAACCGAGACAGAAAGCATGGAAGAAAGAAAGGGAAAGTGAACGAAATAAAAGAAAGAATGAGACACAAAGAAAAAGTGAAAGAAAAAACTAAGACACAGAAAGAGGAGAGGAAAGAAGGAGTGAAAAAGGAGAAGGAAGGAAGGAAGTGGGTTCTCACCTGCTGGACAGTCTGCCCCTTGGTCACATATTCGTTCCCCACCTTGACCCGTGGGTGAACAAGCCCCTTCAGTAGATCTGACGAGTTCAACCCCATCAGGTAGGCAGATTTGTCCGCCTCTGGAAAAGCAAAGGAGACAATGTTTGTCTTCCATTCCCCCAGCCCTGGGCATGACCAATCCCCACCCTGCATTGGCCCCAGTCGCCACCGGTGCCCACCTTCGGTGCCGTCAGGCTCGGCCTGCTCCTCGCGCTGCTTCTGCTTGAACTTCATGTTCCCGAAGTGCATGATGGCACCTGTCAGCTTGTACAAGGAGTTCTTCTCCTCCTGAGTGAAGCCCAAGATGTCAAAGGCGCTCTGTGGTGGGAGAGGGACAAAATGTCAAGGCTTCCAACTGAAGAAGAGGCAGCAATGGCTTCCCAGCCAGTGGTCCCTCGAGAGTCTTCCCGGCCCCCTGCTGCCCCTGGCTATACTCACATCGGTGGCTATCAACTCTTCGGCATCATCGATGGAAGACACCGTGGTCTCTCCTTGGGAGATGAAGGCGTAGTCATATGGGTTGTTGGTCACCAGCATCATGTCTGCAGAGGGAAGCTGATGGGTTACGGATGGACACAAGACCCGTGTCTATATGACACATCTGCGCAACTCAAGTCAGTGAAAGAGTGAGGATGCCACTCAACCGAAACCAGCTCAGCAAGGAAAGGTCAAGGACTTGGGGCCACTCAGTTCAATTCCTCAAGACCTGAATTCACTCAACCCAACATGAATCAAATTACCCAGACTCAACAGGACTTGAGGACACTGAATTCAGCTATTCTGGATTTGAGGGATTTCAGCCAGACTTGAAGATGCTAAGCTCAATTTAACAAGACTGGAGGCCATGCAACTCAACAAGATTTGATGCCTCTAAACATACTAAGATGTGAGGACGCTCGGCTCATTTCAAATCAACACGACATAAGGTCACTCCACTCTACTTGCAAGACTCAAGTGAACTCAGTTTAAGGATACTAGAGTTCATCATCTCACTGAGACTGGAAGGGATTCAATGCAAGGATACTAGAGGTCACTCCGCTTGAATCAGACGCAAGGGAACTCAACTTTACTTAAGGATACTAGAGTCCAGTCGCCTTAACAAGATTTGTGGACACACCACTCAACTCATGAAGACACGAAGCCACTCAACTAGACCAACTCATGTAGACATGAGGCTGTTCAGTACAGCCCAAGCACAATCTGCCTGGGTTGCTGAAGATTCTCACCCAGGAGTTCTGGCTTTTTGTTGGACAGGATCTGGTAGTAGATGTGATAGCTCCTCTCGGATTTGAGCTGGCAGATGACCCGGGATTTTTCCAGGAGATCTGAGGGAAAGGGGAAAAGAGTGGGTTAGAGAGAAGGTATGGGGAGAGGCAGAGAACAAACACGAATCCATGAGGCACAGGATGGAGGCAGAGAACATCGACATTCATCACACTCACAGGTCTCTATATCAGCTGAAGCCAACTTCCCCGTCGCCCCGAAATGAATCCGGATGAATTTACCCTAGGGAGGGAGGGAGAATGCTCAGGATTAGGGGCTAATACAGCAGGGATAGCCCCACAGACTCCAAACACAGACCCCTTCCCCCGACTCCCACACAGCCCCGCAACCTTCTTCCCCACAGCCATTCACTCCATACATGGCCCTTCAGACCTCAAACCCCATAGACAGCCACAGAGACTTCTCCCCCAGATCTCCCACCTGACATACAGCCCCACAAATCTCCTTCCCTATAGACTCTCCAATCCAAGACACTGCCCTTCAGACTCCCAAACTCCATACACAGCCCCATAGATCCCTCCCCCAAAGACACCTCCACCCCACACACAACCATACAGACCTCTCCCCACAGACATATAACCACACAACCTCCTTCCCCACTGCCTCCACCCCATAACCTCCTCAACCGACCCCCACATCTGAGACAACAGCCCCATGGCTTCCTTCTCCAGAGCTCCCACCCCAGACACAGCCCCACATGCCCCTCCCCCAGCTCTCCACCTCCACCCCAATTCCAGGACACTCACGAATCGGGACGAGTTGTCGTTCCTCACGGTCTTGGCGTTGCCAAAGGCCTCCAGGGCGGGGTTGGCCTGGATGATTTGATCCTCCAGGGTCCCCTGAGTGAGGAACATCATACAGGTGAGGGGAAAGGAAAAGGAAATAATCAGAGGGCAGAAAGGGAGGCGTGAGACAGAGAATGGGTGATGGGAAGAATGAGAGATAGATAGATGGACATATGTGAGGATGGACAGACAGACATGGGGATGGATGGGTGAACAGATATAGGAATGGGACAGATAGATGGGTACAGCGATGGAGGGATGGGGATGGATGGATGGATGGTAGCAGATAAACGCAAGGCCAGGGATGGACAGACTAGTAAAGGGATGGACATGGGGATGGATACAGGCATAGATGGATGGTTCAGATAGATGGGTGGAGGCCACACCTTGCTCTTGTCCACCTGTTCCTTCTTGCTGCGGTCACTGATGGCCGCGATGACGGCAAAGTACTGAATGACCCGCTTGGTGTTCACGGTCTTCCCCGCCCCGGATTCTCCGCTGGGGTACAGGAGGGGAGAGAGTGAGACACAGCCCCTCCTGCCTGTGTCCCACCCACCCCGAGCGCTGGAGAAGCAGGAAGACTCCATGCAGAATTCAGGAGTCAGGACTTCAGAGCGGGGGCGGGGCTTCAGAATTCAGAGAAGGGGAAGGGCTTCAGAATTCAGAGAGGGGGCAGGGAGGTTAAAACTTTAGTAGGTGGGGCTAAGACTTGAAGGGTCGGGGCTACAATACAAGAAGGGTTAAAACTTTGGGGGGCGGGATCAAACTTCAAGGGGGCTGTTAAAGGTTTTGGGGTGCAGTGATTTTGCGGGGGGGAGGGGGTAAGAGAGGAAGGGATGGGGTGACACTCACGTGATGAGGATGGACTGGTTCTCTCGATCTGAAAAGAAGAAGGGGAGGAGAAACAGCATGAGGTGAATAGAAGCTACCTAGCCCCATCTTGCCCACCCCAGGGTGCCCTCCACCCAGATCAGAATGGATATCCTGTACCCATCCACATGTGCTGGTAGGCAGAGAGGGAAAGGAAGCAGTGGGATAGGTCTGCAGGTTAGGGGTTTATGCTTAGGGATAGAGACTATGGCTATGGCTAGGGGTATAGTTAGGGTTAGGGGTATATTTATGGTTATGATTATGGGTATAATTAGGGTTAGGCTTATGGATAGGAGTATAATTAAGGTTAGGTTTATATTTATGGTTATGGCTGGAGTAGAGTTAAGGTTAGGGTTATATTTATGGTTATGGTTAGGGATATAGTTAAGGATAGGGTTATGGCTGGGGTAGAGTTAAGGTTAGGGTTATATTTATGGTTACGGGTATAGTTAAGGATAGGGTTAGGTCCCTACCCGTCAGCATGTTCTGGTAGGCGTTGTCAGAGATGGAGAAGATGTGGGGCGGGGCTTCGCTTCTCTTCTTGCCCCTGTAAGCGCCCACCACCTCCGCGTTATAGACCGGCAACCACTTGTAGGGATTGACCGTCACGCAGAACAGCCCCGAGTAGGTCTGGAGAGGGGGAATGGGGGGGGGGGGGAAGGCCGGAGAGAGGGAAGATAATAGATGATGCCTCCCCCCTCCCCCGTGATCCAGGAAAGGAAAAAATGACACACCCAACCTCCATCTAGAATAGGGGTGCGCAAACTTTTTGGCCCAAGGGCCACTTTGGGGTTGCGAAATGGTATGGAGGGCCAAGTAGGGAAGGCTATGCCCCCCACAAACAGCCTGGCCCCCACCCCCCATCCGCCCCCTCCCACTTCCCACTCCCTGACTGCCCCCTTCAGAATCCCCAGCCCATCCACCCCCCCTGCTCCTTGTCCTCCTATCCGGCCCCTCCCAGGAACCCCGTCCCTAACCGCCCCCCGGGACCCCTCCCCATCCAACCCTCCCTGCTCCTTGTCCCCTGACTGACCCCTCCCAGAACCCCACTCCCCAAACTGCCCCCCCTGGGACCCCACCCCCTATCCAACCCCCTCTTCCCTGTCCCCTCACTGTCCCAACCCCTATCCACCCCCCGTCCCCTGACAGGCCCCCTGGGACCCCTGACCTATCCAACCCCCCCCCACTCCTTGTCCCCTGTCTGCCCCCTCCCGGGACCCCCGTCCCTAACTGCCTCCCCAGGACTCCACTCCCTATCCAACCCCCCCGCTCCCTGTTCCCCCCTCCAGGAACCCCCCGGGACCCCACCCCCATCCAACCCTCCTGCTCCCTGTCTCCTGACCGCCGCCCCCGAGCCTCCGCCCCATCCAACCGACCCCTGTCCCCTGCCTGCCCCCCAAGACCCCCTGCCTCTTATCCAACCCCCCGCCCCCTTACCATGCCGCTCAGAGCAGCAGAACTGGCTTATTGGAAAGCCTGGGAGGTTGGCGGGTGCAAGCCGCGCTGCCTGCGCAGCGGCGTGCCTGCAGAGGAGGGGCTGGGGGTAGCCTCCCCGGCCGGGAGCTCAGAGGCCGGGCAGGACGGTCCCGCGGGCTGTAGTTTGCCCACCTCTGATCTAGAAGAAGAGATAATGCCACCCAATCCCAGTCTAGAAGGAGAGGAAACCCCCACCAATACGGAATGACACTAACATCCTTGATCTAGAAGGGGAGCGGAAGCCCCTCCTCCAGAATTGCTCTAACGCCCCCCCCCCCGATCTAGAAGAGACATTGAGTTTCTGCTCTAAAATGGCTCCAATGCCCCGATCTAAAACAGTGAACGAGTTTCTTTTCTAGAACGGCTCTAAACTAGAAGATGGAGAGAGTCCTCAACCCCTGAACTTTGGATCTAGAAGATGGACTGATTTGCTGATGTAGAAGGGCTCTAAACAGAGCCATTGGATGGGGAATGGCTTTAAAGTCTCCTGATCTAGAACGTCCGACTCCAGAACGGCTCTAGATGTAGAGCTCCCAGAAATACTACAGCGCCGACGCAGGGGTGGGTCGCACAGCATGGAGGTCTGGGTATTTTCTCCCTCGCCCCACGGGGGAGGCCGGGGAAGGGAAGCTGGCAAAGCCCAGCAGGGGGCACCCCCCCGCAGACTCACGTAGATCATCCAGGCGGCGTATCGCTCCTTGAGGTTGTAGAGCACGGCCGGCTCATGCAGGAACGTCAGCATGGCCATGTCCTCAATCTTGTCGAACTTTGGCGGGTTCTGCTGCATGATCTGATCCTCCTTCACCGTCACCGTCTGCAGGGACACCCCCAACACACACACCGAGAGAGCCCCGGGCAGCGTTAGTGTGGGGGACCATGGGGAGGCAGGTGCCGTCTGGGGCAAGCAGCCCCCAGAGGAACCAGGATTAGCCTCCAGGGGACACTGTAGGAGTTGGGGGGGGAGGAGTTTGGGGGGCCCCTGAGGTGAACTCATGAGGGGTAGGGGCTGGAGGGGGGTTCCCTGGAGGAGGAGGGGTCACTTTGGGGGTGTTGGGTGTATTGTGTGGGGGAGGAGCAGTCACCCCTTCATGAACAGGGGCCCCAGGAGGCACTGAGGGGCCTCATGGAGGATGGTGTCTGGAGCCTGTTGGGGGCGCTGTGCTTGGGGGCAGTGACACTGGAGGGGGGCAGGAGAGAGCTGTGTGGATGGGGCTGTCTGGGGCACCCCCCCACCCTCCACCCCACACACACACCCTCCCCCGCACCTGGCCGTGCTCAGTCTCGGCGGTGACTTTGGCCCCATCCCGGGAGATTATCTTGGCCTTGACAAACTCCTCCTTGGGGTCCGGCACGAAGATGTCCTTCTTCAGGTCGAAGGGCCGGGTCTGCGCTTCGAGCCGCAGCTTGTCCGACTGGCGCAGGAAGGGGGCGGCGGCCCCAAACTCGGCCATCTCTGCGTCCGGCATGGCGAGCTCTGCGGGCGGCAGCGGGGCGGTAGGCAACCCAGGCCCCTCCCCAGCCAGGATTCGAACCCATAGCCCTGGGGTGCTGTAGTTCCCCGACAGACCGCGAGGGGCAGACCCCTCCCCGAGCATCCCCGGGGTGCTGGAATAGGTGGGGTGCACTTCCTACAGCTGCTAACAAGGGGCAGCAACCTCCTCTTGCGGAGGGGTCCCCGTATAACCAGCCCCTGCACCCCACCCCAGAGCCAGCCGCATCTCAGAGCCAGGCGAGGGGTCCCTGTATAAGCAGCCCCTGTGCCCCCCTCCCCCAGATGAGCCGCATTTCGGCGCCAGACGAGGGGTCCCCATATAACCAGCCCCTGCACACCCCCCCCAGACGGGCCGCATTTCGGCGCCAGGCGAGGGATCCCTGTATAATCAGCCCCTGCGCCCCACCCCAGAGCCAGCCGCATCTCAGATCCAGGCGAGGGGTCCTGTATAACCAGCCCCCCCACCTCACCCCAGACAGGCCGCATTTCGGCCTACCTTTTCTTTTCCTCTGACGCTCCTACGGGGGAAGAATGAGGTGGGCTGGGCTGGCTGCCACGGGTCTGGAGTCCTGTCAGGCAGAGGGAGCAGGTCAGAGAGGAGCCAGGGATCGAGGGATGCCCTTAGAGGGGCCCAGACCCCCACGCCCCACCCCACATCCACCATTCATGTGAGACACCCCCCCTCAGGGCAGGGCCTGGCCCCACCAGGAGAGGGCACACACACACACACACACACACACAACAACAACAGAAACACAAAACCTCTCGGCCCCCCACAACTCCAGCCCCCCCTTCAATCTCACCCCGACTCCCCCAACACCACACATCCCCACAGAGACCCCAACCCCTCTGTACCACAGGTCCCCCCCACCCTCTTCCTCCCAAATTCCCCAGGGAGCCCCCCATCAACCACCTAAAACTGCTAGCACCCTCCAACTCCTCGTCCCCCCCCCGGGGATGCCCCCAGAGCCTCCCATCCCCCTACATCCCCTGGGAAGACCCCCATCAGCACCATAACACTGCTAGCACCCTCCAGCCCCTTCCCCCCATGCTCCCCAGGGAGCCTCCACACTCACAGGGAACCCCACATCCCCCCTTTCCCCTTGCCCCAACCAGAGGCCTGACCCCCCCATTCCCTTTGCCCCCCAGTCCCCAGGGAGCACCCCCCCCGAGCTCTAACGTTGGGGACCTACCTCACACCAACACAAACGGGGGGCTGTGGAGGGGCGGCCGAGGTGGGTTCCCCGTTATATAGCCCGCGCCCCGCCCTGGCTGGGGCTCCCGCCCGATATGGGCACAGCCCCCCCTCCCCCCCACGGAACAATTGGAAGCTCTCGTCATTGTCCTGGAACGATGAAGAATGGGAACAGGTTCAGGGCGGGGGCGGGGGCCGCAGGGTTGGGATTCCAGAGCGGAAGGACGGAGGGTCCCAGGGGAGGAGGGACAGGAACACGGACACCCCATTACGCCAGCCCCCCTCAATCCCGTCCTGCGCCCCCGCTAGCTCAGCTCTGGGCTCCCCCCAGCTCTGCCCGTGTCCCTCACTCCCGATCCGCTGCCCCTGCTAGCCCAGCCCTGCCGGTGCCCCTCACTCCCGACCTGCAGCCCCTACTAGCCCAGCCCTGCCCCCCCAGCCCTGCCGGTGCCCCTCACTCCCAACCCGCAGCCCCTGCTAACCCAGCCCAGCCCTGCGTTCCCCCCACCCAGCCCTGCCGGTGCCCCTCACTCCCGACCCACGGCCCCTGCTAGCCCTGCCCTGGGCTCCCCCCCACAGGTGTATAGGGTGCTTTCTAACATCCATGTAGTTGTTCTGGGATTGCGGGGGCGGGGGGAGGAATGAGGGATCTTGGTTGGTCCTGTATCAGCATCAGGAATATTATGGGATTGTGCCTGAGCACTCAAGTTTCCATGGAAACGTATCTCCATAAAGATCTACCCTATCCTGGGCTTTCACAACAAAGCCCAGAACTGGGCGCCAGGACTCCTGGGTTCCAGGCCCAGCTCTGGGAGGAGAGTGGGTTCTAGTTGTTAGAGCGGGGGGCTGGGAGTCAGGACTCCTGGGTTCTCTCCCCAGCTCATGGAGCAGAGTGGGGTCTAGTGATTGGGGGGGGACTGGGAGCCTGGACTCCTGGGTTCCAGGCCCGGCTCTGGGAGAGCAGTGGGGTCTAGTGGTTAGAGTGGGGGGGCTGGAAGCCAGGACTCCTGGGTTCTATCCCTGCTGTGTGATCTGCTCCCTTCCCCCTGCGCCGTGCTCAGACGGACAACAAGCAGGTGGCCGCTGGGGGTGGGAGACAAAGCCGGGAGCATGTGTCCGGCTGGAATCCGGGACACGGCCCTGGGCATGGAGGGGGGCAGCGTGCCAAGCGCTGGGAGTTCCCGGACATTAACCCTGTGCTCGCTAGAGACCCCCCCTCCCACCGGCACCCCTGGGCCTCCAGACCCGCCTGGTCTTCCCCCTTCTCTCGCTCGTCCGCCCCGTCCTTCCTTCCTCTTCCCCCTTCTCTCGCTCATCCCCCCCGCCCCGCTCCCTTCTTTCTGTCCCTTTCCTTCCATCCACTCTCGCTCCCTGGCTCTTCCGGCTCTTTCCCCCTCAGTTCTGTTCTTTGTTAATTCTCTCCCTTTTTCTTCCCCCCTCCCTCCCACTGGTGTAATTTTAGCCTCCTAGATGCAAAGGACGCCCCCCCCCCCCCCACCCCCCCCCCCCCCCCCGCATGCCCCCCCTCCCGCTCCTGTCACTCGATCCCTGGGTAACAAAGAGGGAGGATGGGACAATAGCAAGGAGGACAGACGGTCACCTTGCCCAGCAACAGGCCTTATATAGACCTACCCAGTGCACGGGCCCCAAAAGGCCTGGCCATATTAATAGTAGCCAGAGCTGAAAATAGAACCCAGGAGTCCTGACTCCCAACCCCCTCTCCTCTGACCACTAGCCCCTACTCCCCTCCCAGAGCCAAGGATAGAACCCAGGAGTCCTGGCCCCCAGCCCCCACTGCCCTCCCAGAGCCAGGGAGAGAACCCAGGAGTCCTGGCCCCCAGCCCCCCCTGCTCTGGCCACTAGACCCCACAGCGTTGCTAGCCAGACCGATGGGCAGGTAGCAGGGAGAGGGGCCTGGGGGGATGTGCCAGGCCAAAGGGGAAGCGAGGGAAGCCCTGGCCCGGGCAGCAGCATTCC